AGTCTAATAGGACTGAAGAGCATCATTTCATCATGATTAAAAGAAAACTTGTCAAGAAAATATAGCGTTCTTTTTTGTTGTTGTTAATCCTCACTCAAGGATTAATTTTTGGAGAGGTTAATTGAATTTTAGAGAGTAGAAGTGGGGAGGGCAGGAAGGGGAGAGAAAGAAGGGAAGAGAGAGTGAAGAGAAGAGAGAGAAACATTGATGTGAGAGAGATACATCAATTGGTTGCCTCCCCCACTTAACCCTTCCTGGACCAGGAAATGAACGTGCAACCCAGGTATGTGCCCTTGACTGAGATTCAAACCAGTGATCCTTCCGTGTGAGGACTGATGCTCTAACCACTGACCATCAGCCAGGGTGACATCACAATCTTAGATGTGTATGCACCTAATAACAGTTTCTAAATATGTGAAATAAAAACTAGTAGGATCAAAAGAATAGATAAGCTCACAATTAGAGTTTGAGATTTCACATTACTGTCAGCAATTTACAGGAAAATGGCAGATAAGGATAGAGAAGATTTGAGCAAAACTCTTAACCAGTTTGACCAGATGCTTTATAGATACTTGAGCAGAATACAAGTTCTATTCAAGTGTGCATGGTATATTCAAGAGAGAGACCTTAACCATAACTAAAATCTCAGTAAATTTCATTTATTTTTTTGTTAATCCTTACCAGAGGATATTTTTCCATTGAGTTTTTATTTAGAAAGAGTGGAAGGGAGAGGGAGAGACTGAAAGAGAAACATTGATGTTACAGAGATGCATCTATTGGTTGCCTCCTGCATGTGCCCCAACCAGAGCCAAGGATTGAGCCTGCAGTGGAAGTAGATGTCCTTGACTGGAATTGAACCCAGGACCCTTCAGTCCAAAGGCTGACGCTCTAGCTACTGAGCCAAACCAGCTAGGGCTCAGTAAATTTTAAAGGTTTGAAATGAAGAATGTTACCCCTGACCAATACAGAATTAAATTACATACTTTGTAATTTATGTAATTTGTAATTTTTTAAATATATATTTTTATTTATTTCAGAGAGGAAGAGAGAGAGAGAGAGAGAGAGAGAGAGAGAGAGAGAGAGAGAGAGAGAGTCATAGAAAACCTGGCTTCCTCCTGCACGCTTCCTATTGGGGATCAAGGCCAGAATCTGGGCATGTGCCTTGACTGGGATCGAACCTGGGACCCTTCAGTCCGTAGGCTGACGCTCTGTCTACTGAGCCAAACCAGCTAGGGCTATAGTTTGCAATTCACATAAATTGTCTTTATTCTTTCACAAAATTTTAGTAGTTTGTTTTGTTGCATATTAACTACAAGCAATAAAAAAAAACTAAATGTGACCAGTGAAATTCATAAGGTCACAGACTACAAGATTTAATATATAAAAAAAGCATGTTACTATATAGTTCAAAGAACATTTTGGAAGTGGAACTTTAAAAAAAAAATTGTACCATTCATTATTCCATCCAAAAACCATGAACTATTTAAGGGTAAATTTAAATACGTGTAATATCCTACATGGAAAATTACAGATTATTGCTGAAAGAAATAAAGTCCTTAAAAACAGATATATCATGGTCATGGATTGGAAAACTCGATATTTTAAGGTGGTAGTTCTTCCCATACTCATCTGTGGATTCACTGCAATCCCAATTTAAAAAATCTGGACTATTTTTATAGAAATTGACAAGTTAATTCTAAAATTTATATGGGAATGTGCAGGACCCAGAATACCCAAAATGATTTTGAAAAAGTTGGAAAATATATACTGCCTGATTTTAAAAAATAATATTTAAGACAATGTGGTATTTGTGTAAAAATAGACAAATAGGTTGGATAAAATAGAGCATTCATAAATAGATCTGTGTATATATTGTCAAGTGATTTTGTGCAGTGATACCAATGTAATGAAGTGGAGAAAGGGTGGTCTTTTTTTTTTTTTTTTAACAAATGATGATAGCACAACTGGATATCAGTAAAGGCAACTTCAAACTTTACCTTATGCCATACACAAAAATTATCTCAAAATGTATCATAGACCTAAATGTAAAAGCTACAACTGTAAAACAGTTAAAAGAAAATATAGGGGGAAATCTTCTAAGACCCTGGGGTAGGAAAAAAATTTCTTAGAGAGATCACTAAAAGCCCTCACCATAACAGAAAAAAAAATTGATAATTTGCAATTTTTGCTCTTCAAAAGATACCATTTAGAAAAAGGGAGGGAAATTGCCACAGACTAGAAGAAAATATTTGCAAAACATATTTGGTAAAGGGCCTATATCCAGGTTATAAAAAGAAGTCTTATAACTAATAATAACAAGACAATTTTGAGAGTGATAGAAATTTTTGATATTTTGATTGGGAGAGGGGGCTCAGTGGTTAGAATAGTGTATATGTAGGTAAAAACTCCTTGAACAAGTACACTTAAAATAGGTATATTTTAACTAGTGTGATTTAGGATAAATATGTTGACCTGAAGCCATGCTGGTAAATGAGAAAGTGAAATGCAGAAACAGTATTCAACTCCAAATTCGCTCCCTGCCTGGTGCCAGTATTCTTTCTCTTCTACCATGCTATTTCTTATGTGTTCTATATTTCTCAAAATAGTACCAGTTTTTAAATATCCAGTCTAATTTTTTCCAGATTGCAGTCATACTGGTTTGAAGCTTTACAGTTATTTAAAATAAGGCAGAAAGAGAGAAATAAATTCTGCCTTTGTTTTCCTGTATTAGGTTAGCACTTATCTGTCTTGAATATAAATGAATTTAAAACTTTCACTCTAGCATTTTGGTTTGTGTGTATGTTCTTGAATAGTAGCTATATTATTAATGAGGTGGGAAATGAGCAGCAATACTCACTGTTTTGGTACCCACAGTTACTTAGCACAGTGCTAAATGAGTATATTAAGACACATTTATATAATGATTTATAGTTTACAATGCATATTTTATATATATGATCTCATTTGAGCCAGGTAGTAGATTGTAAGTAAATAATTTTTGATAGGAACAGTATGCAGTAAAATACAGTTACTATCTATTGTAAATTTTCCTGAGGGTTACTTCAAACCATCTTTTCCTTCTAGCGGGCTCTTAGAGAAGAGTATTTGTAATAACATTTATTTACATACTTCTCTTTATGAGTATGAGCTCCATGAGGGCAAGAAGCAGGTTTTACCCATTTTTGTGTCTCAAGTGCCTACCATTGCCCCTGGCACAAAATAAACACTCAGTAAATGTTTCTTGTGTTTATATTAAACTAGAGGCCGGAGACACGAAATTTGTGCACTGAAGTTGGGGAGGGGGAAGGGGAGAGAGGGGACCCGCAGCCCAGCCTGTGCCCTCTCATAGTCCAGGAGCCCTGCAATCCATCGCTCTAAAGAAATAGGCCCTGCCCACCTGGCCGGGGCTTCGCTATGGATCGCCCGCAGAGGGATGCCCAGGCTACCTGCCGCAGCGCCGCTGGCTGGGTAGCCTGGGCCTCCTTCTTTGGGGCAATCGATCGTGGGGCTTCATGATGAATCCCCACAAAGGGGGAGGCCCTGCCCACCTGGCCAGGGCTCTGCAATGGATTGCCCACCCACCGCAGCCTGCTGGTCGGTGGCTTGGGCCTCCCAATTTGGGGTGATCGTGGAGCCCCCCGATTGATCAATTGAACACCCCGCTGTCTGGTGGCCTTGGCCTCCCTCTGCAGGGCGATCATGGGGCGATGGGCTGGGCCCCCAACCAATCGCATCGCACCCACCTTGGCTGACCTGGCGCCAGTGGGTGTCATAGCGTGGTCATCCAGAAGGTCATCTGGACAGTCATTCTGCTGTTTGGTCATTCAGTCAATTTGTATATTAGGCCTTTATTAATTATAGATCTAGATGTAACACTGAAAAGGTCAAGTGATTGGCTTTAAATTGCAGTAAGTAACTGCTAGCCCAATACTCCAAAACGTATTACTGCTTTCTTCAAAGGCATCCCTGCTCTTTTTCAAAACACCAAGCTCTTTTCTGCTGTTATTAAAAAAGGTCTTATTGGAACCCTTGTACCTGACCCTATTTTATAACTGAGAAATGAAAGGTTGTTTATAATACATATGTGTACTAGTTAATCTCTGGCATTTGTGTTTGCAAGTTAACATGCTGTCTATTGCATTTGAACAGCTGTAACATGTGTGATAAGATTTCTTAATAAGTCACTTTCAAGCAATGAAAATATGAATATGAAGCATGTTAAGTTGTACTTTTAGACCTTTGGGTTTTAGATATAATCAATTGTTTATAATTCTCTGAGAAAGGTAATGAAGATAGTATTATAGCCTGTTTTGGAGCTAACAAAGATTCCAGCCATCTTTTGATCTTTGCAACTGTGTCTAATTTGCTAAATTCTTTCATATTTTCTAATCAAAAGAGAAGGCTCGAAGTGAATATTTATGCAATATAAGTGGCCTTTTGAGCTCAAGATGACTTTATCATAGTCAAATCATTTCTCCACATCATGACATTAATATTCTACATGTAAAATATATAAGGTTGTTTTGAAAAACATTTATAAGAGATTGTTGGTACTGATTGCTCTCACAGTCAGTGAAAGTCTTTTTGTTCTTTTATTGTATATTTGTTGGCAGTTGTGATCAACACAGAATAAACTGCTTTACAGTTTATTACTTTCAAAGTACAAATTTGAATGCTGTGGATTCAGATGTATAAAAGAGATAAAATTACAGACAGCTTTGAGTGGCAGTTACACATCAAACCTCACGGGGGTTTGACAGGCAACGAATATCGTTATTAGACGCTTTTTCCATAATTGCTGACATTTATCCAGTGTTTCACAGTATTTGCTAATGTATTAATGCAGTCAATCTCTGAGAGGCTGCACATGCCTTTTTAGCCCTGGCTTTTATGGGATTCTGAAATTCATAGACCCACAGATACTTATTCCCTGCTGGTTGCCGTAGTGACAGAGCTCAGAGATAAGCCAAGACAGAGCCCTTTTGTGATTGCTTTTCAGGTGACATTCAGCGGCAGCTTGAGTAGAGTGTCCTTTTATAGTTCCTGTAATTCAGAAAATGATAACAGCTTTTTGCTGCTTAGAAGAGAAGTCTGGACTGCTCCCGGTGGGATTTCGGTTTGCTGTGCTACTTCATACCAAAACCAGCCTGATAAAGTTCTTATTATTGTGGAGATTTCAAAGTGCAAGAGGACTGAATGAATTATGACAGGTTAGGAAATACAGAACTGATACTACAAATAAAACTTTAAAGAACCAATAGATGTTCTCCAACTATATGTAACAAATTAACTGGGGCATTTTAAGCTATTAGTGATGATATACTTAGGCAGTTGCTTAATGAGTAAATGCACCTGACTTGTAAATTGCTTGTAAACCGTGCTAGCTGTTCTATCTCCAAGTTTAGAAGTTATCTTTCATTTCTGTGTATCATTTTCTCATTTGAAAATATTGCTTCAACATTTTATTGTTTTGATGCAGATAGCTTTATTTGGATACTTTCTTACTCAGGGTTATATTTTTTTCAATATTCTCAGCAGTGGAATAATAAAAGAATGTTTTATCAGTAGCAGCTTATTCAAATTCAGAAGAAAACACTTGTGATGGTAGAGAATGGTTGGAGGTGGGGCAAAGGTAGTTCAAGAGATAACTGGACAAAATAGAATCTTACCTAGAAAAAAACATTCATGTTCTAAGAAGCCACGTTTTCCCCCTAGCCTGTTAAAGCTTGGAGAGTTAATAGTTTTAATTCTGGAAGAAGAACTCCAGGGACAATGGGTAAGTTTGGGAAACATTGAAAGCCATAAACCACTGTCTGTATAATTGATGATTATTGAAAAGAGGCAAGAAGAAGGGGAACACTAATCCAAATTAAATCATGCAAATCTGAAGGGAGGTATAAAGCACGCAAATATCTTACCCCTAAAATTTAAATGTAATTCACAGTTAAACAAGAAGCAGGTAGCCAAAACCGGTTTGGCTCAGTGGATAGAGCGTCGGCTTGCGGACTGAAAGGTCCCAGGTTCGATTCCGGTCAAGGGCATGTACCTGGGTTGCGGGCACATCCCCAGTAGGAGGTGTGCAGGAGGCAGCTGTTTCTTAAATTACAATAATCTTGCCCTAGCCGGTTTGGCCCAGTGGATAGAACGTTTCGGCTTGCGCTGAAATGTCCCAGGTTCGATTCCGGTCAAGGGCATGTACCTGGGTTGCGGGCACATCCCCAGTAGGAGGTGTGCAGGAGGCAGCTGATCGATGTTTCTCTCTCATCGATGTTTCTAACTCTCTATCTCTCTCCCTTCCTCTCTGTAAAAAATCAATAAAATATATTTAAAAAAAAAAAAAGAAACAAGAAGCAGGTAGAATGAGCTGAATAGAGAAGTAACTTGAGAACCTGAAGAGATGGAAAATTTCAAAATTGCTGGTGAACCGTGCTAGATGAACAGGCATATGGTTAGCACATGAATGAAGGCTCAGAAGAGAAATCTGGCCTAAAAAATAGAATTGGTTATCTTGGATTAGGTATGCAATTGAAAAGCTGGCGATCTGATTTGTGTTACTTATTTCTAACCTTTCATTCTCATTTAGAGCAGTTTTAAACTCAACTCTCATAAAATTCAAATATTTGTAATTCAGACAAAAAAGGGTAACCTTCAAACTAGTAACAAACAAGTATGACATTTTCAAATGATATTTAATAGACCTTTATTAATACTGTGTTACCCCATGGTGTTCATTGCCTTTTTTACTCTTGCGATTAACTTAATAATTAATCATCAGCTTTGATATACTAAATAAGAGAAAAAACAAGAGAGAAAAGAAATTTGTAAGAATTGTATTATTATATGATGTGCTTTTCTGTGCTGCGGTTATCTACTTAGGAGTCTTTCTCAAAATTTAGTCATCCACTGAGAAGGTCTTAAGACCATATCGCCCTGGCCTGTGTGCTAAGTGGTTAGAGTGTCGGCCCATGTACCAAAGGGTCATGATTTCGATCTCTGGTCAAGGGCACATGCATGGGTAGCAGGTTAGATTTCCATGCCTGAGGCAATGGTAGGCAACCATTGCCTTTCTCCACTCCTTCCCTTCCCTCCCTCTTAAATCAATAAACATATCCTCCAGTGAGGATTTCAAAAATGCCATCGTTAAAATGAATGAATATAAACTAGCAGTCTGCAAGTGTTCTTTACTTGGTATGAGCTGGTTCAAACTTGGTGCATCTATTGAGCTAGTTGACACGTGGCTCTGAGGAGATAAAATTTGATATAGATAAGGTTCATTATAGTTGGGAGATGGTGAGAGCAGCAGGGTCATGGTGTAGGACAGTGATGGCGAACCTTTTGAGCTCGGCGTGTCAGCATTTTGAAAAACCCTAACTTAACTCTGGTGTCGTGTCACATATAGAAATTTTTTGATATTTGCAACCATAGTAAAACAAAGACATATTTTTGATATTTATTTTATATATTTAAATGCCATTTAACAAAGAAAAATCAACCAAAAAAATGAGTTCGCGTGTCACCTCTGACACGCGTGTCATAGGTTCGCCATCACTGGTGTAGGAGATGATATTAATGAGCCTAGGGAGTGGAGACTAGGGTACAATATGGAGTTCCCAAGTAAGTCTAGGATGATGAGGGAAAGAACCAGGTTCTAGAGGAGGATTGGAAGAATAATGATAGAGTCTAGAAGAAACTCTAGGATACCTCCCCGTTGTGCTCAGTTATGACCACCATTGTACTGGATAGACATAGCTATATTGTCAAAGATTCCTCAGGGAAGCCAGATTTTCTTTTCCTCACAGTATCCCCAAGGACATCCCACTCTAATAGGGCATTGATCACTGCCATTTGCCCCTTAGCTGCCTATATATGTTTAAAATGGCAGCCTACTGGTTCTTTTTTTTTTTTTCCTGAGAAGGGAGGAGACTCCCATTTAATTTTTTTTTTTCCCTACTGGTTCTTAAGCCCCAAGAAACCAACCTTGGTCAATGCCTCCCGAGTCAGCAAAGCACGGGGATGCTTTCATTGTCCTCCTTTCCCAGAAGACTTCACCCAAGACTGGCTATAGCATAGTATTTTTCCTCCCAGACCATAATAGTAGTGTTAGAAATTGGAGAAGGCCAAGGTTAGGTAATGTTAAGTTGGTCCTGTCAAATTAGCTTGAATGTCATTTTAGTGGGGGAAGAGTTTATATGACATCATTTAGGAGGCTCTTGGATTAAGTGGTGGTGATATATGTGAGTCTCTTGAATGACAAATATTGAAAAAGAATGTGGTACATTGAAGCCTATAGGCCAAGCTCAGAGTCTCCCCTCTAACTTGTCACCTCTTTGACCTTGTGTAAGTCACATAAGTCCTCTGGACTTTGGTTTCCTTAAGCAGACAAATGAGTTATATTAGAAAATAGGCATCTGACCGTGTAATAAAAGATCTTAAAGTAGCTACAGACAGATTTACTAATTTTTTAAGCCTGTTTCCTTATCTGTTGTATATGAATGTTATCAGCTTTAGGATTAAATAGGTTAATGAATATGGATTGCCTATCATATGGGTGAGCAGATACAGATTCTGGAATCATAACAACTTGAATTAGTATTAAATTTCAACTCCACTGGGAGCAAATAGTTTCTTAAGACTTTCCTGAAATGGGTAATTAATAATACCTACCTTATAGGGCCCTTGTATTAATAAGAAGTGGAGATGAATTTAAAGTGTCTGGTGCATTGTAGGTTCTCAATAAATATTGGAGTCCTCTGCCTTTTATTCTACTATCTTCCCTACCTTCCCATCTTCAAAGTTTCCTCTAACTCTAAAATTCTCTAATTATATACAATCTATAATAATAAAAGCATAATATGCAAATCGACCGAATGCCCGAACTGCGGAACGACTGTCCAGACGACCTTCCGGACGAAGCCAGGGCCACGAGAGCCAAGGCAGCCGCGGCTGCAAAGGCCTACTCTTGCACGAATTCTGTGCATTGGGTCTCTAATTCTAACATATAAGTCTTTAGCAAAAGAAATAGATAAACTAAAAATAAGTAATTCCACTTCCTATATGCAATTCCAAGGACAACCTTACTAATATTCTTTAAAAAAATTTTCTTAATTTTCAAATTATTTCTTGCACTCATTATACTGACAGAGCTCCAGAGACTTTTATGTTTGTTTTTGACGGAATGTTTTTAACATTATTACTATACGTTGATCAAAATAATGATCAAAAATTTAAAATGATTTATTCTATGAAAATTTTTCACTTTTTGGTTTTGTTATATTCACATTAAAAATTCTATATTTTTAACTTAGTACTTTTTAATAAATTTTTTCAGATCAAATTACAGGTTGATTCATTTTTTGAAAAATAGAATTTATAATTAGCACATAACAATGATTACTGCCTGTTTTGAAGAGTTAACACTTTAGCACAGCTTTCATTTTACACTAAATTTTTTGCCATTGGTAAGTGCTACAGGTATGAATCTGCCCACAGAAGACATGCTTGATTCAGAAATGCAGCATTATTTTATCATGTGTCAAAATTTTTAAAATATTATTGGATTTGAGAATTTTCCTATTTTTAATACAAAAAAAATTATTCTTATGGGTGTGTACATGTACCTATAAGAACCAGTGAACTAGTAAGTAAAAACATACACATGTATTATAGAGGGATTACTTACTAATTCTTATATTTACCTGAGTGTGAATCCTAAGAAAATATAATAGTAAAATAATGCTTGTGTATAATTATTCTTATGTGACTCATTATTTAAAATGTGTTAGAGTATTTTTATTTATTGTATACATTACTGGCTAGTTTCTATACCACTGTATAAATGTTGTGTGTTTTTTTAATATGTTTTTATTGATTTCAGAGAGGAAGAGAGCAGGAGAAAGAGATCGAAAATAGAAACATCAGTGATTAGAGAGAGTCATTGATTGGCTGCCTCCTGCATTTCCTCCCCCCACCCCCCTTTCTGGAGATTGAGCCCACAACCCGGGCATGTGCCTTTGGCCAGAATCAAACCCAGGACCCTTCAGTCTGCAGACCAACATTTCATCCACTAAGTCAAACCAGCTATGGCTCTATAAATGTTTTTGTTTAACTAGAGACCCAGTGCATGAAATTCAGGGAGCAGGCCTAAGTCGTCAGTCGGACATCCTTAGTGCTGCCGCAGTGGTGGGAGAGGCTCCCACCACCGCCGTTGTGCTCTCTAGCTGTGAGCCCAACTTCTGGCTGAGTGGCGCTCCCCCTGTGAAAGCACACTGACCACCAGGGGGTAGCTTCTACGTTGAGTGGGATCAGGCCGAAACTGACTCTTCGACCTCCCATGAGGTGTCCTGGATTGCAAGAGGGTGCAGGCCAGGTTAAGGGACCCCACAGGTGCATGATTGGGGCCAGGGAGGGATGTGGGGGTTGGCCAGCCAGAAGGGACCACGGGAGGGCTCCAGGGCATGTCTGGCCCATCTCAGTCGCAATCAGCCAGACCCCACAGCAGCAAGTCAACCTACCGGTTGGGGCGTCTGACCCCTGGTGGTCAGTGCATGTCATAGCGACTGGTTAACTGTCGATTGTCTGCCCCCTGATGGTCAGTGCACATCATAGCAAGTGGTTGAGTGGCCTTAGCATATCATTAGCATATTATGTTTTGATTGGTTGAACAGACAATTGGATGACCTGACACTTAGCCCATTAGGCTTTTATTATATAGGATGTTATGTGCTAATTATAAATCTTATTTTTCAATAATTCATTAAAAATGAAAATATAGAAGTTTAAATTATGTTGAATTTGGGAGGTCTGTGTTTTGCTTATTTTGACTGTTGGTCTCAAGTCATCAGTGACTACCAAATTAAACAACCTGATCCTTTTGAGCCTTATACTTTTCAGTCAGACAGGTCAGTTAGACAGTACTTTAGTGATCATTGTTAGTACTTCTTATTTGACTTTGGAGTGATTTCCAGGTTTTTTTCCTAGGTAGATTTTTATTTAGAAAATTACAAGTACTATCTTAAAAGATATCTTGGCAAGGAAAGTACCGATTTAATTTCAAGCAATAGACATTTATTATGTGGCTGGACTATCAAAGCAACCTACTAAGTTCTAGGGGGACTAAAATATTTGAGAATATAAGATCCAGGCTGTGTCCTCAGGGACCTTAGGGTCCAATACGTAAATACAGGCACAGGCAAAGTTAAAAGAACCACATACCAAGAATTCTAGCGATTCACAGTAAGGGTATGGGAGTTGAGCAGCAGAAGAAAAAGTACGTGGCTGGGATGGGCCAGGCGTGGATTAACCAGCAAGATGAGGTTCTTTTTTCTCGTTTCTAGATTACACCCATTTAAGCTGCTGTGCCTAACTTGGTATTGTTGATTCAGTCTCTGTTTTCCCCAGGAGCAAAAGCCATGACAAGATGCCTAGAAGCACTGTGCCCATATGCTGAGACCAAAGCTGTTAGCATAACTGCCTCAGTTTTGCATAACTGCCTCAGTTTTGCCAAGAAATTAGATGCTGCTGGAAGAATATCCAGAGCGCCTATGTTTGCTGTCCAAAGAGTTCCGCAGTGTTGTGGGGTAAATGGCATCCCACTATTGACTAGACATGTGCCAAAGGCTGGTTGGTACTCTCTGTGCATACAGAACAGGCTCGAGATGGATCCTTGTGTACTTGAGGGTTCTGTGGTTATGGTGAGCTGAAATCACCACTAATTAATACAGTAGTTCTAAAATAATGATTTTTTTTTCACTAACAGAATCTCTTTATCAAACTTAAATTGAGGAACCAGCTTGAGGTAAACACACCTTTCTAACCTAAGATTTTGTCTTGATTCTCTGTGACTATGCTTTGATTGTAGAATAAGGTAAAGAGTTTGTTTTGATAAGGTCCTGGATTCTTATCATCAGTATTTCATGTGTTGACTTTATATGTTTTTGTTAATAATGACTTTCTAAATGTTAGAAAAATGAAGAAAAATAACTTGAGGAGTGTTTTGTTTTTTATTTTTGCATAAAATGCCCTTTCTGTATTTTGCCTTGAAACAATTCTGCCTTTCTATTACACTGTTCATGTATATGATGGTTTTAAAATTTGTGGAACTTTCAAGGTACTGAAATTGTTGTCGTGCCAAAATTACCATGGATTTGCCAATGAATATGATTTCCTGCAAATAAGCAATTCATTTTTTCTGTTGAATTTCTGCTCAGCATAATTATTTTGTCCTTTGCTTTTCATAAGTGTTTAACACTAGGTACTGTTTCAGAGTTAGTCTCTGCAGTCTCTGGCTTGCATCCTCAAGTCAGGTTGCTGTGTGTGTCTGTGCGCATGTGTGGTGTGAAACAACATTGAATTCCTTTTAACTCTGACCAAGTAATGGACATTAGCATTTGTGGATCAGATTGTGCATGCTGTGGCAAATACAGATCCATTCACCGTTGTTTTGTTAGTGTACATTAGCACTGATTATGAAGTGGACATATTTATTTCCCAGGCTTTCAGGATTGTCATCTAAATAACAGCAGCAAATAGCCAAGTTTCCAGAGTTTAGCCATCATCATTTGGTGTTTCCCTGAGTCCAAATGGAACTAGAAATGGTGGAAAAGACCATTTAATTTATTTTTTATGATCCCTATCTGGAGAGATTAATTAACTCAAGATTCACAATTAGCCTCACAGCAGTCCATATTAACCACCCCCAACCATCCCAGGTCTTTCAGAGGTGGCATAATTCTGAGATTATTTTGCATTTGAAGCAGAGAGGCTTACAATATGTAGCCTGAAACACATTTAAGAATATGAGGTTTTTCCTTTTTCTCTTTTTGTGTCAATGTATGCTTTCTCTAATGATAATTTTCTGGTTTGCAAGTGGACTAAAAACAAATATTAGTAGAGAATGCTTACTTCCCACCTAGTTATAAAGCTGCCTTTATAACTGCTTTGCTCAGCTGGAAATTTTGTTACTGAATTAGTTACCTAACACAAAAGAATTAAAATGAGTCAAATATTCAAGCTTTAGAGACAATCATGAAGAAAACTTAGGCCCACTCATCACCATTGACTCCTGGTAAAATACAGTTACCGGCTCTTCCTTATTTATCTTTTGGTTTTGTTTTGTTTAAAGGAAATGTTCAGTTGCAG